TCCTTCCTTCCTTCCTTCCTTCCTTCCTTCCTTCCTTCCTTCCTTCCTTCCTTCCTTCTTCTCCTCTCACGCTTTGCCTGGCAGGTGGATGAGGAAGAGATGAGGAAGCAGCAAGAGGAGATCCGGGCGATCTTGAAGATGCGCATCGCGGGCTCATCCAGCGGGACCCAGGTGAGTTGGTTGCTTGCATCCCCTGAGGGGCATGGGGCTGTGTTATGACGGTGCCCTTGTCGTGCTTCTGTGGCTGCGTTCGAGCCACACAATTAACCAGCTCAGGAGCAACCTAGCAGGTGCATTCCAGAGCATTAAGCTGATTTAGTGCTGAACACGTTTGGGCTATTAAAAATTATTTTCGGTGTTGAACAAATGCAGAAAATGGATTAATCAGTAACTGGGTTAATCACGTTCTGTGAATGCACCCTTTATGTCCGAGAACCGGGTCAGATGAGTTGTCAGAGATAGCAGGTTGGGCAAGGGGGCAACGTGGCAAAGCTCTCTTCTGCTGCGGGCGTGGGTGTGACGAGTGGTTGTCTGAATGCGAATGGGGAGTGTTTCTATAGCAAGCGAGTCAAGGCCCAACATAATTCAGGGTCCAAGAAGCTGGAGAGAGCTCTCCGAGTCCACCCCTTCGCGCAGACCCCAAAAGGATTTGACTGCTCAATTATATAGTGGATGCAAACTGCTTTAGGGTTTTGTGGCCGTTGTCAACTTCAGCTGCAGTTAAATGCTAGGAAAATTGAGGATAATTGCAGTCAACAGTCTTTGATTAGGTTGTGGTTATGTTAGGTTCGTTCTGCCCAGTGGCAGCGTGAAATTTTGAGCTGTTCAGTTTTCAGATGCACGCCCCATCCAGACCCCAAGCAAAATGTGTGTTTCCCCCAGAAACACTGGCAGAGCACTGGAGCAACTGTATATAAACAGGGAGAAAACTCCACGCTCGCTTGCACTGATGACGTTACGTTGTCGGGTCATGAAACGTCTGCAGGAAACCACCCAGCTCAGAGACCACCAAGGCCTCCCAGTTCAACCCTGAGCTACAGAGATTCTCTTCTGTTGGATTCAACCTAAGATGATATGCTGATGCCTGGAGTGGTGGCAGTGTTTGCCACCGCGCATGCCCAAGGGCAGAGAAGGCATTTTCGAATGGGAAAAAAAAAAAAAAGGATGTATTAGATTGGCTCCAAAAGCCCAAAGTCATCTGCCTGTAGTAGTGGCCCACAAGACATTCCTGAGTGGATTTTCATAAGTAGGATGTTTGTGCAAATGGCTCTTCTGTCGGCTCAACCTCTGGCAATGAGTGGATTAGTTCTCTTGAACGTGGAGTTTCTGTTTTGATACAAGGCTGGGTTGAACTGCCCTTGGTGCAATTAAAAAAAATACAGCTGTAAGAATGGTTCTAATAGCTTTGCTGATTCCAGCTTGGCTTCTATTGAAGATTTCTCTTGAAGCTTCTCCATCCCACGGGAGAGGGCTGCTTTTTAAACTTGTTTTGGTTCTCCCCGTGTTTTTTCCCCCTTTCCAGCAGGCTGGTGACTTCATCTGCACGGTGTACCTGGAGGAGAAGAAGTTGGAGGCAGAGCAGCACGTGAAGGTCAGGCAGCCCAATCCAGAGAGAGCAGAATGGGGTGTCTGGGGCGGAAGCGTGGGCTGGCAGGGAGTTCTGCATGGTCAGTGATGGGGCTGGGGGACAATTGGGGTGGAGACACGTAGGGCTGGGCTGGGCGAGAGAGAACAGGCAGAGGAAATGGGGTCAGGCTGCATATCGATAATCCAGATTTGTGGAGACGGTGCTGGTGGAGAAGCAGAACTGAGCTGTCTATATTTTGGACCAGCCCTTGAAGGCTACCTGGTCTTCCCCAGCCCCTTGCAACCCAACGGGTTGGGACTACACTTCCCAGAAGTCCCAGCCAGTGTACCCAAAACGGAAGGAATTGAACATTGGGTTATTCATCACCTTTTCCAGCTCTGCAATCTCTCTCTTCCTCTTCCTCCTGTCTCCCTCCTCTTCCTCTTCTCTTCCATTCCCTTGGAAGTGGCAACCACAATTTTACATGGTAGTCCGTAGACTTGTGGAAAGACCAATCAATTCAGTCTGGTTGTGCCACATGGCTAGAGGTTGGAAGGGGCTGGACTTCCATGAAGTGAAAACCTTCTGGTTGTTGATGATCGTCTGTGAAGGGAAAACCCATCCTGGCTTCCAAATGTTCTCTTTACCGAGGCCCATAAAAAACATGGGAAAAAAATCTAGCACCCTCTCAGGGCAATTCCTTTTGTTAGGACCAACCTAGAAGCTCCACAAGAATCCTCCATCAGTCAGGGACCAAGAGCTGCAGCAGAAGCAGGAAGGTCCAGAAATTACACCTATTGAGGTTAAGCCAGGCTGAAGATGGGGATGGCCGGTGGGGCCATGTTACACCAGCCATTGGGGAATGAAAAGCGATAGCCCCCCAAGTCTCTTCCCACTTTTTTGGATAAGTCTGTTTCCGCAAGGAGGGGATGATGTGTGATTAGTAATCCCACCCCTAAAGTTTGGGCCCTGCCTTCTCTGAAATGCCAGGTGGGTGGATGAACCTCATCCTCAGCTCGCCCTCCTCTCCCCCTAGATTCCTGCCACAATGACGGCAGAAGAGCTGACTTTCAAAATCTTGGACCGGAGGAAAATCACCACGAAGGAGAAGGATTTCTGGAGCTGCTTTGAAGTCAACGAGCGAGAAGAGGCAGGTCGGTGGCCGTAGGAGAGGGGCGCTTCTTGGAATTGGCGGCAGTTGGAGTGGCATGCCCACCCAGCAGAAGGAAGGGAGGAAGGAAGGAAGGAAGGAAGGAAGGAAGGAAGGAAGGAAGGAAGGAAGAAGGAAGGAAGGAAGGAGGGAAGGAAGGAAGGAAGGAAGGAAGA